ATTTTTGCTGCAGATTTCGCCTTTCGATTTTGGCCTGTGGCTATTGCTGTAGTTTTAGCCACGGGGGAAATTTCCTGAATCAAAGACGCCACTCGGGTTGTATACTTACCACACAATTGGCATTATTATCATCGTTATTATGTCACTGCCAAATTTGCGTCAAAAAGTAAACTCACCCACTTGCTCAACACACAACACAAACGTACGAGTCCATTCTCATCCACGCATGGCTGACTACAACACACTACCACAAGCAAGTGGCAACTTGTCTCGTTGCCCCAAATCCTATAAACAAAAGGAAAAAGATATGCCTAGTGATAGCTCTTTCTAAGCTACTCTAATCAAAAAGTAATATTTGATTATTAGCGTGGGAGGTTTCAATACTTGAATGTCAAATACGAATTACTTCGAAATTCTTGATTATGAGTTAATTTAAATTCTGCCGAGTGAATATCATATGAGAGCCAAGTGCAAAAACAAGTCGTGCTTGGTAGTCGTTCTGACCGAGGAAATCGATTATATGAGGCCAAACCGATATAGGAATTGTATTGGTATGAAATGGTTCAAAAAGCAATAGAAAATAGACTATTAATTGGTCACGTTCACAAGTAGTGAAATCGCACAATTTCTGTATGAGTGAGGATACGCTCACATCTGAGAGAGGGGAGACTAGATTTTGAAGTGAGAAACACATTGCAATGATGTTCATTCTTGTATTTTAAATGGTTTGATCTTTCTAGGGGGGAATATTAAGTTGGTTGCTAAAAATTATAACAAATTGCGGAATTGAAGAAAAATCCTTAAAAAAATATCATATGATCTTCTAGGCCTCCTCATAATGTTGCTTTCTGCATTTGGTGAGGTCTGGAGAGAGGACAAGAGGAAGAACGCATTGGAGAGTCCAAATTTTTTATCGGTGTAATTAGGGATGACAACAAAACCCGAACCCACGGGTACCCACCCGATCCAACCCGGTCAACGCGGGTAAAATCCGTGTTGACGAATTTTGGGTCGGGTTTGGATTTAAACCCGTTCACTATTGATCGGGTTGAGTTGGGTTTGGGTTTAGGTAAACCCGACCCATGGGTACCTGCCCACACTCATACAATTAATTTTCTCGGCATATTTAATATTCTAAACAACTAACCTTATTTATTTTTGTGGAGACATGTCTAATTTTTTCTTTCTAGTTATGTAGAATGAAGTTGATGTTATCGAGTGGAGTGAAAAACTTAATTGAAAGGAAGAAGCTTTCAATTAATCATGTTATTTATAGATAATTTGTGATTTGCTTCAATTTTCTTGAGTTTTCTAGGTTGGTGTTGAACAATTTGTATTGTTAATTTGTGATTTGCTTGAATTTTCTAGGATGATGTTTTATATATGGATAATTTGTATTGAGAGATTGATATTTGACTTTAATTTTGATAGGAATTTGTTATTGTGAATTTTTTATGATCAAAACCCGTGGATACCCATGAACCCGTGGATACCCAGCGGGTTGGGTTGGGTTTGAGTTTTTGAAATCCAGTGGGTTTTACCCCGATTTTTTTTCAAGGATAAACTCATGAGTTTGGGTTTGGCAAAACCCGACCCATTGCCATCCCTAGGTGTGATAAAATTACTTTGAATTTTCATCTAATTTACGTATTGGAGAGTTCATTTTCATACTTCAATTTGTTATAGGCTTTCTGTACTATAGATCATCTGTTCTAATTAATTAGGCGCTTCTGTTGTAATGTGCAAACAATTGATCCTTAGCAAACTTGAATTAACAACTTATTAAACAAAGCGTAGAAATAGTAATGTTAGTGTATTGTGTATTTGGTTCTTTTTCAGATAATAGACGTCCAATCAGCCCCAGTCTACATACCGCCTCCATGCGCAGCACATCTACATCAGAGTCCTCAACCTTCAAAGGTTCATCATCTTCATCTTCTAGGGTAATCTGATTTAGCTGATTTTCCAGCTCCAATGTTGCCTGACGTTCCTTGCTCGTCGCAGTATCCTTCATAGCGTCTTCCACAGCTGCCATGATGTAATAGTAGCACAATATCTCTCTCCCTGAGCAGGCCAAACTTTTGTCTCTGTTGTTTCTCTAAAAAACCTAGCGGTTTCTTGCGCTAGGGTTTTCCTCTCGTACAACCTTTTCCTCTCCAAAACAATTCTATCACAACGAGAACTAAGGTCCCCTCTTTAAGTAATGGATTCCAACACACTTGCTTTGCAAAAGACTAGATCGAGACGGAATTCTCCTTCAACGAGGTAATCAACGCCGATAAAAACTACCGGAAAACCCTAGGGCTTCCGCCGCCTTAGACTCTCGCTAAACGAGAGAGAGAGAAAAAAAAACTTCTTTTTTTCTATTATGTCTATTTCCTAGGATAACTTGAGTTGGTTGAAATACTCAATCTAATAAATCGGGATTTTCGATGAATAAAAGGGGCGGATTCGAGTTTGAATGCATGAAAATGATCGACCGGATGCCTTCACAGTTCACACTCAAAAGATAGGTCATTTGATACTTCGATGACCTTAAACAACCATACTCAAATACGGCTATGACTTTTTGCGAATGTTGCAAGCAACTTCAATGAAAACTAATCAATTTAGGTAGCGACGAGGTCGGTCATTATAAGTCACACAAAAGACAACATATTTTTCACTAGATGGATCGCCCACATCAGTGGAATAATCGACAAATTTGTCCCTCGAACACCAACTAGTTCTGGAATTCAATCCACCTCAGAAAAGACAAAAAAGAAAAGAAGTTAGAAGAATCATATAGATTGCCGTCAATTGCATATTATATTTCTTCCCCTTTTTATTGTGGCTCCAAATTACCTATCGTAATAGGATGATTAGTTTAATCAAGGAAGATAATACTAGTTTTAATCATGAACCATCCCCAACCATGAGCATGTCCTTAGTTTCATCATAGAGCACAATTGTGTTGGATTTTTTGTAAGTGGTTGACCGACTTTCAATTTAATAAACATACCATCCAATCGCATCAATAGAATGTTAAAACTAAAACGAATTGTTTGTTTGTGTATAAAAAACTTGATGATGGTGGCCCTGACGCAAATCACTTAACCTTCTAATAGGATGTTAGCGAAATTACTACACTAACCCTCTTACTCTTTAACCAATTAATTTGTTTGAGTTAATTTTTTGGTAAATAATTTTTCACTAATTTTTTTTACAGTGGGATGCTAAAAAGACGTCCCTAATTCTTATATTAAACAAGTTTAGGTAATGCTCATAATGACGTGCAAAATCTAATGTTGTTAGTTTGGATCTGAAATACTAATTGTGTGAGTATCCAGACTCAAAGTGTGACCTTTGCTAGCCAACTAAGCGGCAACCGTATTTACATTCATGAAATGTTTGTAATACCTTAACTTCCCGGTTCTCTGATGGATGAGGTTCTTGAATTGCTTTGAAAGACCATAGTACCTTTGATTTTGAGGTTTTTCTTCCTCGAAATTGTCAATGTTGTGATCGAACCAAGATGAAGCAGAACACTTTAGGAACTTGGGCATATACAAAACAAACGAAGCATTAGTGGGTGTCACTATGATAATGAACTTGATAGAGAATCACATATAACTGTTTAATCCTTGTTATATAGTCTTTGATTAAACCCGCGTAATTTTTTATGCTTGATTTCTTATTTTAACAATATATTTTCGATCTTCCAATATTTTTTTTTATCTTATTGTATTGTCTTTCCACTACGTTATGGCATATGAAATCACCTGTAAATTAGATTACTGAAAATTATACCTCAAAATCTTACTCATTTCTGTATAATTAGAATGTATTACATTCAAACGAATTATGATGTATTTTTATTGAGTTTCGATCATTTATCAACCATATTGCCAGTCTGACACCCTTTTCTAAAGAGAAAGGTGGCTAATTTTAATGTAGTTCCAGAGTCTCAATTTCATCACTAATACACTATGTTGGCTAGAATTGCAAATAGAGAGGTGCAAATTTTGGGTAAATGTCATTTTCAATGCATTTATCTCATTTGGTTAATTTGGAATAGTGGTAGGGGAGCAAGTGAGGGGTAAGTTCACTATTCCCCTTAACCCTCCAATTTGGGGTGCAAGAAGAGAGAGAAAAGAAGGGAGAAGACAGAATAGTGAGTGGTTAAAATTAATGTTAAAACTATTATAATGTGTATTATTATATCTAAATAATTATATTTTGAATAGATATATAAATAGTAATTGTTATTATTAAAATATAATATTAAGAAAGGCTATAATTACTATTGATTATTGAATTCATAAATCATAATTTTTATTATTATAGTTCTTATTAATATAAAGTTTGTCCATGAATCACACGTTTGTCAAATTGACTCCAATTGTTGAATGTGTTTAACGAAGTTTAACTCAAATTTGCGTTAAAAAGTATAGAGAAGAAGTCAAGTAGAATAAGAAAATGTTTGCGTTGAAAAGTATGCAGAAGAAGTGTCTTGTAAATACTGAAGAGACACCACGGTTCTTATGAGTTTGGTTTGGGTTTACCATACTTGAGAACAAGTTTGTCAAGGTTCGTTTTGTCAAACGAGATCAACATGTCGATAAGCAACGCTCTAGCTGGAGACATGAACTAGCTATATGTCTTGGCAATAGGTTGTGCTTCGAACTTTGAGGTTGCTCGATCAATGATTAATTACTATTTAACCATTATTGTCTTAATAATTACTTTTATTAAATCATATTTGTTAATATTTAGGATTATTATATGAAGTTTTTTATTCTATTATTTTGTGATAATGTTTTATAATTTGAATACATATATTTTATAATAATATAAATTATTTATTTTTCATCATATTTGCATCCACTACTATATTTGCACCCCTACTTTTTTATCCAAACAACAATTTACCTCTTGCAACCTCCACAATTTACCTCAACTTACACCTCTCTCGAATTTGTCAAACATAGCGCTAATAAAAAAATTTATCATTCCCACAGACGCTCTAAAGCTATAAACATTACGTACTCTTCCGTTCTCCAACAATGAAAAACTGCGAAAAGAACAGTGTCATAAACCAAAATACCCCGAAAAGAGCCAAAACCAAAAGGCAATGGAGCAGCAGCAAACACAGCAACTTGAAATAATCTCTGCAGGAAACTCATTCACCATTTTGCCTTCATCAGCCCAAGTCGAGTTCCTTCCACCCAGAGGTGGATAAATAAGTTTACACCAAGAACCCAACAAAGAAGAGAACTTTCCTCTGTTTCTCATCTCCAGGTCTGTAAAATTGATTCTCCTCTTCCTCTGCTTTCCCCTGCCACGAATTAAAAACCTGCCTTTGTATCTAATGAATCGGCTACATGGTTCATTCTTTTTTTTTTTTCTTTGGGCAAATGATCCGATCCCCCGTCGTCACTTTCAGAAATTGGCGACGTGGGTCGCTTAGCTGTCTAGTTTTTTGGAACTGGAAACCGGAGAAATATGCTCTGTTTCAAAAACTTCCAGCAACAGAGGAGAAGAAAAACAGAGGACAAAAAACAGAGTCCCTTTCTTCTTTTGATCGATTTACCCTTTTGTGTCTATAAAGCTAATGCCTTTCCTTTTCTCTGTTGGGAAATTCATCACAGGAGAGTAATCAAAGAAGAAGAAGAAGAAAATATGGTTCTGTTCCCATCTTTCTTCAACGGCTTGGCGAGAACGATGTCCTCATCGTCCTCGTCGTTGAAGAAAACAAAGAGCTTGGAGAGAGATGCCGCCGCCGCCGGCGGCGGTGGAAAAGAAGCTGCGGAGGAGCTGACTAAGGATGCTAAACGCAATGAGCTGATTCTGAGCTCCTCTGGGATTGTGAAGTCAACCAAGTCCAACAATTTCGCTTCCGTCTGCTCTAGGAGAGGCCAGAAGGGTGTCAATCAGGATTGCCTCGTCGTTTGGGAGGTACGTATTGTTAGTAAACGATATATGATCCATAACTGAACTTCTTCCAATAATTAGAGGACCAAATGTTCGTCGTCACACGATATTAAAGCCTTACATTCGATCACCTCATATGTTCTGTTAAGCACACGGTTGCCGATCACGAAGTTTGGCACAAAATTTTAACCAAAACTCTCGTAAAAATTGGGATGCAGGAATTCGGGTGCCAGGAAGACATGACGTTCTGCGGGGTGTTTGATGGTCACGGGCCATGGGGCCATGTGGTGGCCAAAAAAGTTCGAGAATCAGTCCCGCCATCTCTGCTCTGCAACTGGCAGAGGACTCTGCAATCCTCTCTCAACGTGGAGATGGAATTGGGAGGGCTATTGAATCAAAATGAGGACGACTTGATTCTCCGCCACAGCAACCAGCAGCACCGGTTCGACATCTGGAAGGAGTCGTATCTCGAGACTTACGCCGCCATTGATCAGCAGCTGAAACAGAGTCACCCCAAGATCGACACTTTCTTCAGCGGCACCACTGCTCTCACCATTGTCAAACAGGTAAATAACACAAGAAAAATGATAGTTCAATTAGTTTTCTTTTTCTTCTTGTTTACGATTGGTTCGTGACTCTGTTTCGATTGCAGAGGAACCATCTGGTGATCGCCAACGTCGGCGATTCCAGAGCTGTGTTGGCCACAATTTCGGATAACGGCGCCCTGTCAGCCGTGCAACTCACCGTCGATTTCAAGCCCAATTTACCTGGTAAACCCAATTTTCATTTCTCCCTTTTCCCCTCCAAATCCTGTCCTTGTTCAACTCTCTGTGGCTCTAATCGATGGTCTATCGAATTTCCCCCTTTATCCAGAGGAAGCAGAGCGAATCAAGAGCTGCAGGGGCAGAGTGTTCTGCCTGCAGGACGAGCCAGGGGTGTACAGAGTGTGGAGGCAGAGCGGGAAGACGCCAGGGCTGGCGATATCCAGAGCGTTTGGCGACTACTGCCTCAAGGAATTCGGGCTGATCTCGGTGCCCGAGGTGACCCAACTGAGCATTACGAGCAGAGATCAGTTCATGATCCTGGCGAGCGACGGAGTCTGGGATGTGGTGTCGAACCAGGAAGCCGTGCGGATCGTTGCGGCGGCGGCGACGGCGGTGGGGGACGGTGGTGGAAGGGAGAAATGTGCGAGGAGGCTGGTGGAATACGCGTCTCGAGCGTGGAAGCGGAAGCGAGGCGGGGTGGCCATGGATGATATGTCGGCGATCTGTCTCTTCTTTCATGAGGTTGAGCCATCGCCGGGAGGAGATGGTGCGGAGAGTGAGAAGAAGAAGTGTTTGGATTAGGGCGACGACGGACCATTTTGGGGGATGATCGGATGGGGTAAAAATGTACAGGGGAGTGCGTAAAAGAGCAGAGGTGATATCTTTTTATTATGGTTAAGGTTGGTTAAAGGTGTTAACATTCGTGGTATTTGTAATGGTTTGATAATGTTCGTTAGTGAATGTTGTTGTATGGAAAAAGCACAGATATATTTTGTTGGACGATTGATTGATTCAAAATACTTATGAAATTATATAGGAGTGTATTTGGGATTCAAACGAGAAGAAGGATGAACGAACAAGGTAATAAACTGCGAACGAGGGCTAGCTCGGTTGGTTGAACATTGCAAGAGTGACGAAGACTTCGTGTGTTCGTTTTCCTTCAGTCGTATCCAGGTGTTGGGGGTCCTGACCTTGAGGTGACTTGTTGAGTTGTAGACTTGTAGCGTACAAAATGCGATCATACTTCCAGTGGTAGAGTTGTCGCACGCAAAATGTGGTCGTACTCTCCTTTCAATTAAGGGTGACCAAGGATGCATCGACAACCCCCACACCATTCTTCCGCTTCTAATACTGATTTCTTGCGACGTCACTAAAGTGGCAGTCGCGGATAAGGATTCTCCGTTGTAAAAAAAAAAAACAACAAGCTAACAACTAACAACTAGGGATGGACAATGTGTTGGTCCATAGCTAGGGATGGCAACATAATGCTATCCACGGATACCCTACCTGACCCAACTCAGTCAAATCAGATAAAATTTGCATTGAGGGGTTATGGGTCGGGTTTGGGTTTAAACCCATTCTAGTATTTTGAGGGTGAGATTGGATTCGGGTTTAGCTATATCCAATCTGTTCCAACCCGAACTAATTTGTTGCTCTCACTAATTGTGTAGAATGAAGTTGATCTGATGGAGTGGAGAGTGAAGCTAAAATCAGAATTTTCAAGTTCTCAAGGAGGAAGAAGCGTTCTATTAATCGTGTTTTGCTGATGTTTATCTTTAATGTCGAACAATTTGTATGGATAATTTGTGGTTTGCTTGTATGCACTAGATTGATATTTTTTGTATGGATAATTTGTATGGACAGATGTGTGTTAGACTTTTATTTTTGACAGAAAGTTGTTGTTATGAAGTTTACACCATATAAACCATGGGTATGAGGTATCCATGAACCCGCGGATACCCAGTGGGTTGGGTTTGAGTTTTCCAAACCCAATGGATTTTACCCTGGGATTTTTGGTGGATATACCCATGGGTTTGGGTTTGGCAAAACCCAATCCAACGGCCCATTGTCATCTCTATTCATAGCGAATCACACCGGAACAAACCAATGTTTGGATCGTACCTCACCGAATTAAGTATAAAATGGTACGATATGTTGTCCCATAAATTTTATGAATACTGAAGAAAAATGGACCAAATTGACATTTAGACTGGACCAAAACAAATTAAATACACTATCAAATCGATTCTTGATCCTAAGATATATTTCATATTAGACCGCGATTCTCCTGAATTTGGTTCGATTCAATCCAGACCAGACCAAGCCCACCCTTCCTAAGTCCTAACAACTAGTCAACCACACCCACAATACTCGTTTTGTGAAATTTCCTAATTTTGGGACTTGTTTATTACAACAATATAGTCCAGATACTAAAATGTGATCCGGATTCCGGCCCCAGAAATATATATAGTGAACTATGAATGGTCCAAAAAAATCAATTCTCGGTTCATAGTCGGCGGTTTCGTGAGGTCGAAACCCTAGTTTCACTTTCCCGCCTCAGTTGCCGTCAATGGAGACTACTGAAATCGCGCCGACTGCTCAATCAAAGTTACCGAAGGTAGCAACGGGCGATTGGATTAGCTCCCTACCGGACGAAATCCTCTCCCACATTCTCTCTTTCCTCCCAACAAAATACGCCGTCGGCACCTCTTGCCTAAGCCGACGTTGGAAGGATCTGTGGACTGGGCTGTACGAGCTCGATCTCGACAACCGCGACACCGTGTTGGGGAACACAGCCAATCGCGACGAGATTCTTCAGAGGCGAGACTTGGAGTTCCGCCGCTTCGTCGACAGGGTTCTGAGAGAGCACAAGGATCTCAATTCTCTGAGGCGTTTCCACTTACATTTCGCTGCACCGAACAGCAAGGTGAGCCCCAATTTCTTGATGAGGTTAAGATTGGCGCCCGATGAATCTCAGCTTGAGGAAATGGATGTTAGTTTTGAGGTGAACCATTTTTGCATACCTTGCCTTCCAGACACACTCTACAGTTTGAATCGTCTAAAAATTTTGAAGCTTAACAGCGTTGCGTTAGAGAGCACCACAAAAGGGTCTGTTCTTCTTCCTAGTTTGAACATGCTGCAGCTTTTGAGAGTAGGGATTAAGGACTGTGAGTCATTAAGCAGTCTCATCTCTGGTTGCCCTGTTCTAGAGACTCTACATTTGGAAAATTGCTACTACTCAAACAGGAAGGAGGGTGACGAACTCATTGCTTCCTTACCTTACTTGAAGAACTTGACCGTTATCGACAAGGGCGTCCTTGGTACTCGGTTGTGCTCCTTTATAATAGAGGCACCATGTCTTGAGCAGCTTTATCTTGACCATTTCCCTGAGTTTGAGTTTCAGGACAGTAGTCGTCCTATGCCATGCCTTCATTCAGTGCATATTGACACTGGTCATTATGGAATTTCGGAGCGTGGCTTGATTAGGTTCCTCGCACACGTCTCTAGTGCAAAGGAAATACACTTATCACCGCAGATTCTGGTAATCAGCATTGTTCCTTAGTTCCTCTATTTTGCCTAATTTGAATGGTTGATAGACTGAGAACTAATGATTTTGTTTTTGTTCAGAATGTTATGTTAGATTTCCATCGTGATGTTCAGCTGCCTATCTTTCCCAATCTGACACGTTTGACAATTGAAGACCCTGAAAGCAGCTTCGTTCTGCACTCCTTGCTCAACTCGGCCCCCAAATTACAATCTATTGTTATTGACTTGGTGAGTCCCATTTTATCTCAGTTAATTGCAGGCTCCCCCTTCCTTACATACTACCACTATCTATAATCACTATGTGCATGGAGCAGGAGGATGCGTCAATGTCGTGGACGAAGTCGAAAAAACTTGCTCGCACCCCTCAGTGTCTGTTGTCAAGCCTCGAGGAAATTAAGGTAAAAAATATCTACGCAGATGAAGATCAGATGAATATGGTGGCATATTTGCTCAAGGCTGGAGCTGTACTGAAGAAGGTGGATGTGCACGTGTATGAGACTGATGATGAGGATGTTAATTACAATGATCTTTCTATGCAATACCGTGCTGAAGACCGAGACCGTCTTGGGTCACTGCTAAAACTACCAAGAGGCTCGAAGGCTTGTGAAGCTCGTCTTTTTCTTCCCAACGGCGACGAGATCGGTTTATAGCAACAACGAGACTGATGGTGACAGCGACTTTTAGGACATGGATGATGGCGATGACGACGACAATGGCATGAAAGGCGATGTCGACGATATGGGTTGATGAGATTGCCGCAGATAATCATGACTACGGCACCAGCAGCAGTGAAGATTGCTCGCTGGAAGGGAGAGCCTTGAAGATTAAGTGTGTCTTTTTTAGAAGAATATTGCTTCGTAGGAGCCGAGATCTTTGGACTTAGGGAAGACTTTGTTACTCTATCTTGCCTCGGTTGCTAACTTTCTAGCCATTCTTGCTTTTTGCTCTAAATGGACTAAACGGTATGGAAATATTTGACAATTATAGAGGAGCTACTTGCTCATTCCTATTACAGTTTATGTATCGAATTTCTACATGGGCCATGGGAACTAGGGAAGAACAAACTTGAAACTGCATGGGCGCATCCCGATTCTTGTAGTGCTTCAATGAAGTTGACAAGCAGAGATCATTTGGTAAGTGACTGAGTTCTGGGATGTGATACCGAACCATGATGCCGCGACTGCGAGGATTGTTCCGGTGACTGGTGAGAGCAAGAAATCGAAAGGTTTGCAGTTGGCATTGGTGAATCGCTAGCAGAACTGCAGAATGCTCGGCCCTAATGACACCTATTTTTGGGATATAAATTAGTTACTAATGAAATAACATTTATATTTTTAGAAGATTGCTGACTATAACGTTCGAACCAAAGATTATTGTCACCTTGACAGCAGACTTGTAGTTCGACTATACTAGTAGAGCATTTTGCAAACATCTTTCATTGAGTTCTGTATAAACCAGCACATCATTTTTCTCTATGCACAAACCATATAATTCGTCTATTTTTTGCTTTGCCTTTTCTCCTACTACTACAACACCACCTGTTCTTCTACTATCATACATCCATTACTACTACAATCCTCGCCATCACCGTGTTCTTCTAGTTTACTGATTAACAATTCCATCATCTTCTTGTACATCGGCATGTAATGATCGTTTATCATCGTTTTCGACAGGCGTATCTTACTGTACAGCTCCCTTGGAGTCTCGTATATCCCCACATGGCCAACCAAACTCTCCTCTCCCCCGCCCTCTGCCGTGGTCGCTATGCAGACAATGTGCATGATCTTGCCGGGAGGGTAGAACTTGTGGCTCTCCGAGACCTCCTCTGTTGATATGTCATTCCTCATCGGCGTTGGCTCAGTAGTTGACGCTTCTGCGAGAATCATCCTCTCCTCTTCCTGGATCTCTTTTGCAGCTGCGGCTTCTTCTTCGGCTTGGATGTGCATATCGACTTCGTTGTTGTTGTCGTGTCTCTCGAGCTCCTTAGCCAGCTCATCCCACAGCTCGCCCTCGGTTGGCTCTTCGACCAATGAAGAGAGGACTTGATGATTGCCAGGTAGAAGAGGTTCGTCTTCTTCTTCGCTACTTGATCCTCCGCTGCTTGATGACCTATTGCTCTGTGACAAGTCTTCAGTATGGATTTCGGTGGTCACGATGGTTTCTGAGCTTTCACATATTATGGAAGCTTCATCTAAATCCTCCTTTTTAGGGGATAATAATGTGGGTCCTACAGACCGACGACGTGGTCCCATGCATGACCACGATGTTAGAGATGAACGCGTCCGCACAACAGCCTGAGCAACATTCTGAGCTCGTCTCATCACAACCTAGATCATCGCAATAACAAAACGAAAGATCCGTAAACATCCCAAACATGGCGAGAGTTATCTTGGGAAATTTGGGGAGCGAAATGGGGTAACCTACCTGAGTACTGCTGGAAACAGGGCGCAAGAGTGCCCCAGCACCAGCAACCCTAGCTTTTGCACTTGCTATGGACGGCAACCGAGATCCGAGAGCTGAAGCTGAGCGATACACGACATTTAGAACCCGTGTTTGCTCCACCTGATCTCTCAAATCACTCAACCATGATGATGCTGTGACCTAGTTTGACAAACAGTGAGACAAATTCAAGAGTTTTGTACTGTAAATGGTAAAGTTATAAGCTGTAAGCAATAACATGAAATTAACCTAGAAATTTCATCACCTCAGAACGAAGGTCATCAATGGAAGCAGTTGAAAATGTAGGCACTAGATCAGACCCATTGATAATTGTTGTGATGAAATTCTTTCCCGATTCTGCTAAATCCCAAGTCATACAAGCAGCTGCAAGAGACACATTGCTGTGAGGACATGGTTCAGGAATAGTTTTCGTGCTAAGATTATGGACGAGTACATGCCTGGAGCAAAGGTTACACAGGTGCTCGAGGAAAACATCTTCTGTTCTCGCAATATATATGTTAATAATGCTGCAGTACCACCACCAAGAGAATGACCAACAACCTGGAAATCATAACATATTTGATCAATGAACGCTAAAATTCTGAAACTGATGCCTAAGCTAAAGCCTGGCGAAGTACTGAAGTTCCACACATCATGTAAAAGTTCAAAGAAATGGAGGACTTCGGCTATAAGTGAACTGAATAGCCTAACAAATACAAATGTAATTTATACCATTTCCTCCACATAACATACACTATTCCAGTTGTTTACCTTAACTCTATACTCAGGGTATTCATCAAGAGCCTTGAGCAAGCAAGGAGTGCTGAGTTTGGCGATCCACCGAGCTGCTGCAACCATTCCACAATGTGCATACCCTAAAACCAAGTGGCTGATCCCACCATCATCTAAAACCGAATGGTGGAAGGGAACCACGGCGCCAGTCACTGCAGTCAATGTATCTTTGATGCTATGAGTTCCACGGATCAACAGAAGGAAATGCTTCGTAGCTTCGTCTCGTATAATTGTAAAAGCGGGCATCAGGATCTGGATAATCAACAGAAAACTATTAAGAACTTGAATTCCTCTTGTGATCAGCAAGAAGAAAGAACTTTCTCAAGACATTACCCCAGCCTTAGGCTTCTGAAGAAGGACATGTTCTTGGGAGTAACCAGCAGACTCTAAGAAAACCGGGAAAGGCTTCTTTGAAAAGAAAATGCAATTTGTCAACAGCCTAAGCAAGTACTTGAGCTCGGTCACAATCTCAGGCCCTTTCAGCTGTACACAATCACTACCGGCATATACACTAGCTACCTGCAAATTGCCCTGAAAAAAAGAATACCCATCGAAATTCTCAACCCAAAATCGCCTCCAGGACACAGAGAAGGAAATCCAGAAAGAGAGAAAAGGGGTTTTCGAACCTGCCTACGCATGAGGTAATTGATCCCGAAAGCCAAATCAGCAATCGGCCATTTCCCGAGAGTCTCCGAGTAAGTAAACCGGAGGGTCTCGGTCAAGGTAGTCAGTGTTTCAAGCCAGGTGGCCGGAGCTTGAGCCGGCCGCCGGGAAATCCTCCGCCGCCCGGATCTCGATTTCGACAGATCCCCGTGATCAGCGTCCCCTTCGCCTACCACGCCATTAACTCCGACGCCCTTGGCAGCCAGTCTCCGGCTCAATAAGTAGTACAGCACCACCGCTGCTCCGGCGGCGGTCGCCATCGTCCCCGCCGCCATCTAGATATGGGAGAAAACGAAAGGGAACCCCCCGCCCTCCCCCCCAATTGTCGCTTTTAGGCAGTCGGGTGAACAAATTATCAATCAATGAGAGAAACCCAGAAGGAAATTGATTGTCTTTCGGCTTCTTTTGTTGAGCTAGGAAGCTTCTGCTGGGAGAATTCTGGAGTAAACTGTCTGGGAAATGGAGGAAGAAGAGAAAGGAAGCCTTTTGGCCGCGGAAATGGCGAGGGAAGAAGAAGATTAATTGTGGGCAGAGAAATAGATTCGGATGAGATGTTAAATGTCGGAAAAGGGCTTGGACGGGGACGTGGAGATGTGGACGACAGCTGTTGTAAAGACGCGGGAAAGGTGAAGGGTAATTAGGAGAATTCATCTGAGGATTGTGGTAGTGTGCGGGGAAACAAAAACAAAGGTGATTGGGAGAGTTTTGGCAAAAGGGGAAGTAAGGGCTTGTTTGGAAGTTGTGATTCTTCAAATTGATGTATTGAGATAATTAGTGTATTATCATTTGATGTATTGAATCAATTGATGTATTAGGTAAATATCTTGTTTGGAGGTTTAGATTGTGTTTTTGTTCTAAATGTAAAATAGTTAGTTTTGAGTGATTGTGAAGAATCTCAACAAAAAATAGAGATTGTAAATCCCTCAATATTGAGTGACTGTGGTGGGACCTCCAAAAAGCAAATGCATGTATTCTAGTTCTATATAAGTAAAAAAATGACTTAATCTCACAAATACATTAAATAGGTCAATACACCATTTGAAATCACAACTTCCAAACCACCTCTAAGTAACATTTAATTAATTGCGGTTTCCCTCGGTATTTCCTTTCATCTTATCATTC